GAGAGAGAGAGAGAGAGCTAGAAACGGGCCACGCGGGCCAATTTATTCGGTCGCAGCACGTGAATTATTATTTCAGGTGCATGCAGGATTTGGAAAGATACACAAGTTTACTCTGTGTGGCATTCTAATTATGGACGAGTTGTCCACCAAAGTGAATCTGGGCTGACGCTAAAATATGACGTCTTTGTGCGCCTGAATGCGTGTGTATAGTCATGCAGTGCGGCGCCAAAAGGACATAAAATTGTGGAAACCGGAGATGGCTTCACGTACAGCTATTGTTGTGAAATTTTTAATATCAGTAATAGCGTCCTGGCACCTTCATTCACTCTATAAGCAACTATTTACTGTACTGAATTCAGATAGGCTTCCTGTTCAGGTTAACACTCGATGAATGTAAAAGCTGTGTGGTTGGATACAGGCGTCCTTCCTGTGTCGTGTATGAAGCCTATTGTTGCGATTGGATTGCGACAGAGTTTACTGCACATTAAATCTTGGTGGGTCTGGATTTAGTGTCAACTCTATCCATGCAGTATGGTGGACTTGCTTTTGAGGGCTAATCTGAACGTTACTTACTCTGAAATAACTACTATACTAGCAGCACATAACTTTTCGCTGATTTCAATGTAGGCCTAACTTCTGCTGCAAAGTCAGTGAGGAATTAATATTCGACGGTCAATTAAAAAAAGACTTACTTCTCTTTAAAAAATTATATTTTAAATCGATAAATGTATTGGTGTTGAAAAAGTTAAGCAAGGAACCTTTAGAGGCCTGTCCACATATTTGCATGTGTTAAGATGTTCTGAGTATTTTAAAGCTCAGTCGTCAACCGGGTCAGCATCTCTGACCTTATTACTCCTTAGAGCAACAAAATATTTATCAGCATACTTTTACGAGTTTGTTTGCCCACTCCCTTTTAGGTCGTAAGAAATTTCAAAAGGCCGATTCTATCTTGAAAATATGCGAATAGTAGGCTTTTCTGAAATTTGAAAATTTCCGAGGCCAATGTGGCAATGTAAACGGCAAAGACCAAGTAGATCCTACTTAATTAGTGTCTTCAGTGGCCAGAAAATTTTCGAAAATGTAACGAACTAGTGGAAAGCCATGTATTAGCCGTCTCAGTCTCGAAGGGTAAGCTTTTTTCATTGATACTCTAACGTAAGGACGACTCCTTTCGCGTATGATCAATGGATTTTGTCTGCTTGTGTCACTCCGCGCCTCCAGCTTTCTTCCTCTTAG